CATCTCCCCAATCATCTTGTCTGTTTCTGGACATTTTAAGGTCTCTGTCTAGTCATTTAATTGGTCTTTGTGGTCGTTCTGTGTCTGTTTGAGGTAATTTTGCATATTGTTACGGCCATTTGTGTCTCTTTAAGTTATTTCGTTTTCATTCTGGTTATTTTTTGTGACTTCGTGGTCATTTGGTATCTTTCTCCACTGATTTTATCTCTTTGAGGTCATTTTGTAGAGAAATGTCGCTTTGTGTTTTTGTTCTTGTGTTGTGTCTGAACACATGAACATTTTCATTGTGTTTAGCACTTTAACATCAAGTCTGCCTCATTTTGTTTCTGCTTCAGAAGTTCAGTTTGTTTCAGATATAATCAAGCATCTGCACGTATTCTCTGCACTGAGGTTACATCATGGATATGCAGAGAGAAATATTCAAACCCAAGGTCAGAGCGCTGCTTTTCATCCTTTTATAGACATTTTACACAAATTCAGCCTCGCATGTCAGTTATCATTGCAAACTTTTGGATCTTGGCTCGAATTTAAAATCCAGTTCTGTGGGTTTGAAGAGTGTTTGGCTGCACAGCACGAGTCTCTGCACAGAACTGGACGTGCAACAGTGCCGAGAAAACGACACGGAAAATGAGAATTTTGTTCTTTTTTTTGTCCAAAATAACAGCATGAACAGGGTTATGTGTTCATGCTGGTCATTTAAATTGAAAGAAAATCCAGCAAAATCTTCAAAGCAGCAGGAAAAACACTGAGAAAGATTATTTCCAAGCAAGTTTTGACTGAATATAGTAATGTGATTTGCATTTTTAGATTTATTGAGCACATTTGTTAAACTGCAGTATGAGCACTGACACGTTTTCATGTTTGTGGCTGAAAATAAGGACAATTTGTCATTTTATTGATCAAAATGTTGTTTAAAGATTGGCACTGTGCACATCTACTGATCATGTTTGAAAAAAAAAGAATAAAATGAGTGTTCATTGTGCCTTTTAGACAAAACAGCACAAGAAATAAGACAAATCTACACACTTGCACTGCATTTTGATAAATTTCATGTTTTTCTAATGGAGTCATGAATGCAGTTTTTTTTTAAAAGGCAGGTTTTTATCAATAATTTCATTTAATGAAATAAAATAAAACAGAATGAGACACGTGTTCCGACACCTGGATCGTGTTCTGCTACAATCATTATGAAGATGATCGCAGCTGTTCGCGCCCACAGAGTCACTCTGCAATCACTGATTCATGGCTCAACTTTCACACAAGATTATGTTTCATCCAAAACGCAGCACGAACACTGTCGTCCTTTTGACGTCTGCGCTTTATGCTGAGAGAAAATCCGTCAGAATCAGGAAAAGAAATTGAAAATGAGACAAAACTGCATCATATTTAGCTTTAAAAAGAGCTCATCTCCTTAGAAACAGCTGAACGCCAGCACTGATTCCAGTCACAACTACGCCGTTTTTTTTACTGACAACAGTCATGGCGTTTTGTTAAATTTCATGTTTTTCTAATGGAGTTCTGAATGCAGGTTTTTGTATTTAATGTCAACAAAGCGCCGTTCAGCGAGCTTGAAATAACAAAAACAGAGTGAGACACATGTTCAGACACCTGGATCACATTCTGCTGCAAAACATCCTCATCATGGAAATGATGGCAGCTGTTTGCACCCAGAGTCACGCTGCAATCACTGACTCACAACCCAACAGCAACATTATTATAATGACACAGAATACGCAAACACACAACGTCGCAGCTGGAAGACAAGAGTTTTGTCCACTTTTGACCAAACTGCAGTATGAACACTGACAAGAAAAACACTGAGAATATGGACTTGGCAGTTATTCTTTTTGTGTCTTATTGTTGTCACTCTGCATCTCTTTGTACTAATGTGTGTGACATTTTGCATGTCTTTGCTGTATTTTGGAGCTTTTTTTTTGTCATTTTGTGTCTCTTACTAGTCAGTTTGTGTCTTATTGCAGCCAGTTAGTGACTCTTTTTAGTCATTTTGTGCCAATTTCCAGTGACTTTGCATCCATTCTTGGTATTTTTGTTTGTCTTTTTACTGATTTTCTGTCTCTGTGGTCATTTTGCATCTCTTCTTGCTCACGTTGTGTCGTCTTTATGATCATCTTGCATATCTGTGGGAATCTGTATATTGTTTTAAACCATTCTGCAACTCTTTACGGTCATTTTGCATCTATTTGTGGTCATCTGTGTCCCTTTTTAGTCATCTAGTTAATGATTATATTGATGTTTCTATGGACTGATTTTATCTGCCTCTTTACTTTTAATGTAACTAATGACTGTGCTTATGTTTTGTGGATTGATCTTATCAGTCCTCTTATAGTTTCGTGTGAAGCATATTTTTAAATTGCCTCTGCAATACAAATAAGCCTGCCTTGCCTCTTTAGTTCCTATTTTATACCCCTTTGCAGCCATTTTGCATGTGAATCTGGTCATTTTGTGTATTTTTTTTGCCCATTTTGCATCTCTGTTGTCATTTTGTGTCTCTTTATGGTCATCTTGCATCTCTTTGTAGGAGTTTGTGTATATTTTTGCCCATTTTGCATCTCTTTGCAGTCATTTCATGCCTTTTTTTAGGCATTTTGTACCTCTTTTTGGTCAGTTTGGATCAGTTTTAGGTCAATTTGCATCTCTTTGTGGGGTTTTGTTTATAGTGTTAAAGGTCATTTCAGGTCATTTTTTTTAATCTCCCTGTTGTCATTTTGCATTTGCAGTCATTTTGCACATCTTATTAGTCATTTTGCATCTCTTTGTGGTCATTTTCTGTATTTTTTGGCAGTCTATGCCGTCATTTCTTGCCGTTTTATAGCCATTGTGTACCTTTTTGTGCTCATTTTGCATTTCTTTGAGGTGATTTTGTCAGTTTTTGCAGTCATTTCATGCCTTTGAATGGTCATTCTGAGTCTTTTTGCAGGAATTTTGTGCCTTTTTATTGCCATTTTGTACCTTTTTTAGATCATTTTGCATCAGTTTTAGGTCATTTTGCATCTATTTGAGGTCATTTTGTCAGTTTTTTTGCAGTCATTTCATGCCTCTGAATGGTCATTGTGCCTCTCTTTGTGGTCATTTTGTGCATATTTCATGCCAGATCACGACACTGACTCTCAGGTGACGAACAGAAAGCAGGACTCACTTGCTCCGGTCCTCGGTGTGAGGCAGCAGGCCAGCAGCAGCGGCAGCAGCAGCAGCAGCCCGGGCTCCAGGTGAGGAGACGCGGTCATCACCTCCTCCGTGTCCGCTCACAGCTCCGGCTCTTCCCCGCCTCTCCTGCTCCTCTCCGCGGCGTCTCACTGGAGGTTTCCCCGCGGGGTCACCGCTGCGTCCACATCACGCTTCATCCGCACGATTTCTGCGCCGCTTTCACTCCCAACTTGCACAAAGTGGGTCAGTAGGTGCGCAGCTGCGGCGCATGTCTCCGCTAACAGGTAGTTCTTCCGCGCCTCCTCCTTCAATTTTGCGTCAAACGTTGCGCTCGCTCATTCCAGCACAAAGCGTCCGTCGGAGGCTGCAAATGAAGGAGGACGCGGTCATCCAGCTCCGGTAATCCGGCGGCTGCAGCTGATGGAAAATGTCTGAGAGCTCCGGTGGAAACTCCTCCGGTCACCGAGGAAGAGGAGGAGGAGGAGGAGGAGGAGGATGAAGCAGAGGGAGGGAGCAACTGTTGATTACATAATGAGGCTGAGGCGGATTCATGCGTTCACTCATGAACACATGGAGGCTGTGTGACGGCGTTCACTGGATGGACGCTGCTCGGAAATAAATAAAGTCACACTGTGCTGATTTAGGTCCTGTCAACATCCCAGATCTCAGGTGTGTTTACGTCTGACCTCGATGTAAAAGGAAAAATAAATTAAAAATTAAAATCATAAAAACAAACAAAAACATCGAATTGTATAATGTTCAAAAACTGTTTTTAAAAAATATGAAAATAACGTAAAATAAGGATAAGTTTGTTGATTAAAATCCTCTAAAAATCAGTGATCAGGTGTATTTGTTTTTGCCCTCAATGCAAAAAAAAAAAAAAAAAAAAAAAAAAAAAATAGTAATCACAAAAAAGGCAAGAATAATGTTTAAAAAAATAATAAAAAAATTAAAAAGTTGAATTGTGTAGCATTCAGAAACTGTTAAAACAAATTAGAAAATAACATAAAGCAACAATAATTTCGCTGATTTAAATCCAGTAAAAATCAGAGATCGGAGAGGCTTTTGACCTCATGTAAAATAAAATAAAAATAATAACAAAAAAAAAAAGGTACAAATAATGCTTTTAAAAAACCTGTTGAATTGTATAACACTCAAAACCATTTAAAAAAATGTGAAAACAACATAAAATAACAACAATTCTGCTGATTTAAATCCAGTAAAAAAAAAACATTTTAAAAATTAAAAAAAAAAATAAATCAGAAATTACAGATATATTTGATTTTGACCTCATTGTAGAAGAAAAAAATAAATCGTACAAAATGGCGAAAATAGTGTTTTTTTAAAAAAAAAAGTGGAATTGGGTAACTTTAAAAAACAGCAAATGCCTAAAATAATTAGATTTTTGCTGATTTAAATTAAAAAAAAATCAGTGATTACAGGTGAATACACTGTTTTAAAAAAAATCGCAAAAAAAAAGGAAAACAATGTTGAAAAGTGGAGGAATTGTGTAGCATTAAAAAACTGCTTAAATAAATTAAATAGTAAAAATCTGGCAGCAAGTTTAGGGGGAAATATGTTGATAAACAGTGCAATGGTCAGACATTCAGCAAATGTAAAAAACGGTGAATTCTAATTTTAACTGGATTTAAAATACAGTGAAAAACTGTGAAAACTGTAAACGTCTCATTAAAAACCTTAATAAATGTCCTGTACTTTCACAACATGTGACTGTTAAATGATACTGTTTATACTGAATTTAAACACACTAAAATGATTTTCACCAATTTCTACATTTTTGAAATGTTATTGTACAATTACTATCTTTCTGCAGTGTACAAGAAAAGTGAGTATGTGCACAATCACTTTAATGTCAAATTATTATTAATTGTGTCACCTCTCAGTGACTGCTCTACTTCTCAGGTGAACAGTTGAGTTTTTTCTCTCATATTAGAAATTCAGAACAAAAGCAGAAACTCAATGCAACAACACGAGTCCACCTGTGATTTCCGATCTGTCTACCTGCATGAACACGGTTCTAAAATGAGCTGGGGATGGCAGAACTGTCTCAGTTTTGGACCTATGGACTGAGTGTATCCATGCATCACGGCTCCACATGGAAAAGAAATGAACAGAGGAGCTAAAACACAGCATCAGCAGGAATCAGGAGGCACAGAAGTACCAATAATCGGAGCTGCAGTGGTCGACTCCACACACAGTGAACTACTATCACAATCTGACTTGACACAGGGGTGATGAATGGAAATCAGAGTTTCTGTGAAGCGCAGACAGACTGACGGACGCTTCAGAACATCAACCTCTTTGGACAGACGACAAGAAAAACACCCTTGTTTGCTGTTTGGGAGAAAACTGCATCGCTTTGGCTGAAATGCATGAAAAGAGGCGTGATGGGAGCACGGCGTCAGCTCTGATCAGATGAAGACAAGTTTGTTGGGCTCAGATGGAGGCCAGCTGACCAGTGAACAGTCCTGACAGTGAAGCACAGAGGCCGGAACGATGATGTGAGGCTGCATGAGTGCAAAAGGTGTTAGGAGATGACATTTATAGATGAATGTCTGTGAATAAACCAAATACTGTCCGACAAGATGACTCACAGACTGTAGAAGCTTGAAGAAGAAAAATATTCCAGCAGGAGAAAACATCAGACAAGAGTTTGTACATAAGAGCAAAGCAGAAACTACGACCTGGATAAATACAGGCGTCCTCACATTTATTTATACCCTCCTATTAAAAAATGAAAAAACAGGTGTCACTGAAATAAGTTAAAACTGACAAAAGTAATAATAATTAAATTGTAAATGAGAAAATCAGTGATCAGGTGTATTTGGTTTTGCTCTCAATGCAAAATAAATAAAGAAATAAATAAACATTTTAAAAAAAATAATAATCACAAAAAAGGCAAGAGTAATGCTAAAAAATAAAGAATGAAAAAGTTGAATTGTGTAGCATTCAGAAACTGTTAAAACAAATGAGAAAATAACATAAAGCAACAATAATTTCGCTGATTTAAATCCAGTAAAAATCAGAGATCGGAGATGAATTTGCTTTTGACCTAATGTAAAATAAAATGAAAAAAATAATAATAATAAAATAAAAAAAGGTACAAATAATGCTTTTAATCATAACTGGGTTTGAATCACTGCCATCAGGTGTTTCCTGTAACTCTCAGACAAACGTCTGCACCTGTTGACAGGTATTCTGGCCCACTGTTCATCAGCAAAGTGCTCTAATTAGTCCAGGAGAGTTTTATTTTTTTAAATTATTCTTTTCAACCACAATTCAAAAGCAACATCTTATTTCATTAAATTATAATTTAGCAAATTTCTATTTATTATTACTTATTTTTTTTTAGTTTGTAGTTATTTGAGTGCAGAAATGTTGAACACATGAAGCCATAAAAAAATAAATAAATAAATCACAGATGTGAGCTCGGTGATGGAGCTGACTTTTGCTGCAGTTGATTCAAACCAGTTTGGAAACAGGTGTCCTTTCACATCTCTCTCCAGTTCTCCCTTTAGAGGCTCTTTAAGACATTTTTAACCCCGTAAACTCGCCCTGCGCTTCATATCCAATCAATACGTCGTGTCAGAAATGTCCGTTTGACTTTTTGACTTTGCCGAGGAACAAGCAAAAAAACGCTGGAAGAAATCGAACGCTTCAACTTGAAGATTAATGACGGGTGAAAACTGTGTGAGTAACTGCTGCCCCGCAGGTTCTAAACAAGGACTTTATTAAACAGGTATTTTATTTTTGACACCTTGCAGCATCTGGGATAAATGCCAGTTAACATGATGTAAAAGGCTTTGCAGAAGGTCAGATCCTTTGTTGACTGAGTAGGTTTTACAAGCAAGGTCACTGCAGAGCTGCGTTAAGTGAATCTTCAGCTTCATGTCATGAGAACACAGACATCTATAAACACCTCCTGGTAGGAGTTTACTGACTGCTTTTGTCCAATCACACTTCTAATAATTCAGTGGCTCCACTACATTACAGCTGTGTGTTTTACATCTGCTATTGTAGGAGTCAGAGAATGGAAACAATATAAAATTATACAAGTTGTTTGTTGGGGTTGTTTTATACTCAGTGGTGGGTTCTCTCCGGGTTCTCCGGCTTCCTCCCACACAGTCCA